TTATCAAAAACATAATATGCACTAATAAGGAATAGCTTTATTAACCATACATGTAGAATGTGTTTTATGGGGCCCCCAGAAACTTGGGGCCCTAGTTTTGCCTAATGGTAAATCTGCCCGGTTCACAGCTCAGATGGAAGAAGCTGTCTACCTTTCATCTGTTAGTTGTGCGTACTACAAATCTAGCCTTGAAGGGAAGAATAAGAAGGAGAAAAGTCAAGGAAGGGAACTTGCTCCGCACCAATTTAAAATCTCCTTTATGAAACACCAGCTGTGGCAGCATTGGGGTAAAGCGATGCTTTTCTTTAGAGAGTGCAGAGAAACCAACCTGAGCTGTTGGTGAAAATCAATACCAGGTAGAGAATATAACCTGTTAGAAGCAGCATTAGACTCAATACGAGTGTTTGTGTTCATCTTCTTGCAGAAGGTTAGACCTAAACATGCAACCAAAAACACAGAGGAAAGGTTTATACCAAATCATCTGCATAGCAGGGCTCAGTCAAAGCATAGAGCTGCAGTAAATGCAATTCTTCAATCTGATTTGAGCTTAACTGTCTTGCAAAGGAGCACAGGTCATTAAAAATACATATTTTGCTATTTTCAAAGATCAAAAAGTGAAGCAGTATTTCATCTGAACTCTCTCTTATGGGATATGTGACGCTCATTACCTGCAGACTGAATAAAATCAGGATTTATGCTACCATTCAGCTTTAGGTACGTCTGTGGTTTGACGTGCCTGACTTCAAACCACAGACAAGCAAAAGTTTCTGTTAGAGCACAGGAAGCTGTTGTCTCCTCCTCCAGAGAGAGGAGTGAGTCGACTTCTGCAAGCCAACACTAGCTCATTTTGGCAGAGCCGAGCCGCGTTGCTCGCTGCAGACTGTGTTGGTTTTTCTGACGAGCGGTCCTCCCCTGAACTGAGGTAAGCTCTCATTTGTCCCGGCCGCTTCGTGTCCAAACCACGTTCTTCTGGTTCGCGCCTGTCTTCATGTTCTGGAATTGTGCAAAGCAGCGCCAGAGTTCTCACCTGAGGTCGAATTTCTGCATCTGTTCTTTAAAAGTGTTTTTTTTTGCTTTGCAGCTGCGTTAAATAGATGCTTTTATGTCTTTGATTTGATTTTAAAGTTATATTAAAATGCTGCTGTTATTTGAATAACGGAAAGGTGCAGTGCATTGTGATTTGAAGTGTTACCCCGTTTCACACAGGAAATGAACTACTTAGAAGAATTATCTTCAAAGGCCTTTAACCTCCAATTACTCTTCGCTTCAGTTCTACTTATTTTTCCATCCTGAGGAATTCCCTTTGAGCTTTACTTCCACCTATTTTAACTTGATGAATCCAATATTATGGTCAGTGAACACATCCTCTGCCTCCTGCCTTTCCTCAGGGTCAGAGGTCAGCCTGAGCCACAGCAACATGTCTGAGTCCGCCAAGCCCCATCATCCCATCCCCCCAGGCAAAGGGGAGAAGAGCCATGCGGGGGACTTCAGCTACGTAGGCATCGATGCCATCCTGGAGCAGATGAGGAGGAAGGCCATGAAGCAAGGCTTTGAGCTCAACCTAATGGTTGTGGGTAAGTTGCAGACATGAAACCATTTAACAGGAACTCAAACATTACCAGAGAAGACATGCACAAAGAAAATGCTAAGTTTAGCTAGACGGGCCCTGATATTGAAAGGGAACAAACCCTACCTAAGCCCTATCACCAACCATTAAGTGTTATGTGTGCTGGGGGTGACGCAGGAAGACCCCATGTTGCCTAATTTTCAGTACTGGTAGGGAGAAAACAAACCTAAGGAATGGCAAGAGAGAGCAAGACTTCGGTCTGATAACAGGAAGGCTGACGCCAAGCACTCTGCTAAACTGGCATTAGAAATACCAGCAGATGAGTCTGAATGGAGCAAACTAGTACTAGCAGCAGACGTGCTGCTCTGTCAGGCTGTTTACCGTAGGGCTGGGCGATATAGAAAAAAAGCTTATCGATAAAAACAAATGCATATATGCATTTGTTTTTAT